GCGTACGCACAAGACATAAATAATAAAAATCTGCGAAACTGTAGGAGGAAATTTCATAAACATATATCAATGGATTTAGAATGAAATGCTCTACATTTTTTGTTATTGCATAAATTTAAATAAGTTGTAAAATAATGTTATAAACATTTTTTTTGTTATAAACAAATTGTATATTCGACAATCTATTAACACCATATTATTGTATATAAAAAGCGGGGAACCTTCCGAAAGGTCCCCCAACCCCGGGACAACCAAACTTCGGATTTATAGTAATTGAGGGACGAGAAATCGAATGAGGCCAATTACAGAGCTGGATCTCTAACCGTTTCAGAGATACAGGTACCTAATAGTTACCCGCCGATAGTTGGGCCGCCGATACCTTTTCATCCTTTCGGATTTATAAGGAATACCGATGTACAGCCACAACGGCGCTTCGGCACTTCAACGCCTTTTGCGTTATTCCGTCCACCCGCAATCTGCCATGCAAGCATGAAGGATTGCGGATCCACGCCGTTGCACCTCCAATCAATCGGTAGAACATTTCAATCTGCACAAATGCGCGCAGGATTTTTCTTCGGCCACGATCAGGAACCGGGACGTCCTGTCACCCGTGTGATCGCGCCATTTCTTCGTCCACCATGGTTGGTTGAAAATGATGATGTGGCTTATCCTTGAAGTCATCACGCCCACCTGCCCCAAAACTTACCAGGACATGCCATTTTTCTTCAGCACGGTCATGGCCCGGGACATCGTATTTCCACGGTAGACCGTACCTGTCATCGTCCACCTGGTAGGTTGCTGATGATGTGCCTTATCCTTGAGGTCATCACGCCGACCTGCCGGTAAAGGCAGGACCATATTTTTCTTTAGCACGGCTAGGACCCGGGGCAAGTCCTTTCCCCGGTCAGCCGTGCCACGTCTTCTTAGGCTGCTATCCCCGATGACCTGTTCCACACATACCGCACACCCACACTCACACTCACACACTCACAGGCCTCAATCAAGCATCAAACACGCAAAACAAATAAATAATTATATAAATAAACAAATAAATACCTGTATCCTGCTTCATCACTTCAGAACGTCTTCTTCTCTTCTGAAGTCGTCGTCGCTCTTCTTCTGCCTCGCCGGCTTCTCTTCTCCTCTGAGCCAAGATGTCCCGATACCTGTCGCACACATGCCGCACACGCACACTCACACACACTCACACAGTCTCACAAGCCTCACAAGACCTCAAGCAGGCAAAATAAATAATTAGATATATAAATAAATAAATGAATACTTACCTGTATTCTGCTCTACCCCTTCAGAGCATCCTCTTCTCTTCTGAAGTCGTCCTAGCCACGTCTGACCTCTTCGCTTGTCTTCTATCTTCACGCTCCCCTTTTAATCGCCTTGTACGACAGGCAAGGGTTACCGTGTCTGTATTCTTCCCCCAGTCGCAGAGGTTTTGATGGGTTATCCTTCCCTTGGTGTTTGGTCCGCGGGAGCTATTTCACACCTACCCTCCATGCACTCCGAAAAGTGCATGGCGAGCATTCCCCTATCCGCCACCTGGGGACACGCCACATCAGGGTATCACCTCCCCGCCTATCCTGGGTGACCAGGCAGGTTCGTGGACGCCTAACCTAACCTAATCCCAACCTAACCCTAACCCAACCCCAACCCTAACCCTAACCTGCAAGGTTAAGTTCAAGGTCACTTCAAGATAATACTTTACGACCCCTACAACTTTTGTTTTAGTCATTTTCCGTGGAAATGCGTTCTTATCGAGATAATAGGGGGGTCCCACACTTTTAGAATACCCTGTATATCTCGAGAACGGTTTATTTGCCAGTTCTGAAAATGGTCTCATTCGATTTTTCGTCCCTCAATTACTATAAATCCAAAGTTTGGTTGTCCTAGTATACCCTAAAAAGCCATTAAATCCACCCATTAGAAGTTTTCACGTATCTCCTTTGAGGGGTTGTTTCACCTTTTAAAGTCACGTCTCAGCTGATATAAAAATATACGTGTCCCTTATTTTTACCTGCTTAACAAATGTACGAAGTTTCATCAAAATCGGAGGGGGACACTTCCGGGACACTTTCCTTGTCAGTGCAATCTCGCTAAATTTTGGGGTCCGCATTCCCATCACGTATATTTGATACGTTCCTTTAATCGCCATCGTTAAGTCACGCAAAGTCGCGCATGTGCGAAAAAATAAATCCTATCTAAAGCTAAGTACAAGACGAGCGCGCCGCGGCTGCAACGCGGCAACAACGCGACAGCAACGCGACATTGCAAACTGTATGCGGTGTTTCATTTTTACCACGAACACGCGCCGCACATGGAACGATCAATGAATTTCAACACGCATTCGTCATCAGTTCAATGTTTTCGGTACTTGGGCTCGAACGCGGCTAACCCGAAGAAAACCGTCCACACTGCGGCAAGGAACCCCTTTGTTTTTGCGCAAAAGACCGACAGAAACTGGTTCGTTGCGCGGCATTACAGTATTGGCGCGTGACATGTTCGCGCTACCGTCCAAACGAACGAATAATTCGCCCAAATACGTTCGTTCCATGCCGCGTCGCTGCTGCGTTACAGCCGAGGCGCGCTTGTCTGTACCCAGCTTAACATCACTGTACTGTAACTGTTATTGTTACATCACGAAAACTCATGCATGCGCGAAAGAAATTTATTCCATCTAACACCATTGCTCTCTCGTATAGGTAAATTTACCCAAGTGGGCCGACGAGCTCCATATCTAACAATAAGAAAATAAAAACCGCATTTAAGGTTTTGGAGTTTTCGGAGTATTAGAATCCAGCATAATGATATGTTCTCGGTGTAGCAAAATGTAGTCTAAAAGTTATGTCGATAAAATTAAAAATTATCTGATCTACTCGGATCGAAGTTGTTTACATTTAAAAACAAAAAAAATGACGTGTCTCTATTTTTCATTTTAAGTTATATAATTTTTAGCAAACATGAGTTTGGAATAAAGTTCCGAATGTCCCCGGTCGCCGATCAAATTGAAATTTTGAGGGAGAGGGGGAGGGGGGAGGGGACCCCAAATATTATATAAAGTGGTATCTTCGGCTTCCGATTAGTTTCCGGGATATTAATTAAATACTCTTGGTGCAATACATATAGTGTGATTCTCTCGCTACGCAAGACAAAAGCCGTGCCGCACAATGGAAACCTGCTGTTTCAAAACCCCCAAGACTGCTCTGTGTGTGTTTATGGCTGAAATGAAGGCAAGAAACGGAACAGCAATTGTGCGGCATGGCTTTTGTCTTGGGTAGCGAAAGAATCACTCTGTAGAATTTTTCCTATACAGACGTAACTAACACAACCGTCTTCGCTATAGTAGCTGTCATCGTCAAGTGTCGAACAGCCGTTGACGCAGCGGGTGTTCCAACTGGACTATCTATACGGTATCCTATACAAACCTTTGGAGATACGACGACTGCTGTAGCGTTGCCGGTCGCCTTCCGGCGGCCGGAAATTTATTTACCCTATCCTAATCTAACGATTTTTGTTGTATTGATTGATCGGTAAGCTTGGTCATCATAGTGTCAACGGCTGTTCGACACTTGACGATGACGGTTGCTACAGCGAAGATGGCTGTATTAGTTACGTCTGTATAGGCAAAAGTCTATGTATTGTACTGAAAGTTTTTAATTAATATCTCGGAAACTAATAGGAAGCCGGAGATACCACTTTGCGTGGTCACATGCCTTACAGCGCAGCTGGGATATGGACACTAACAAGGGGAACTACCCAAGTGTTACTCTCACTTATTAACCCTCGCCGAGCGGACTCAGGATCCATTTGGACCCTTGTTCAGAAACAGTCGAACGTCGTCAGGCGCGTCGCGTTATTCCTCCCTACTCCTTAATAAACAAAAGCATGTTCGTCAGAAAGATGTAAACTTGAAGCACATTGTCAGTATTTACGTTAATATTGACCAAACGATAATAGTAGTTATAATAATGAATAATAATATTTTTAGAAATCAGTAAAATAGAAAATAGTAAAAATTTGATTGAAAAACACATACTCGGTGATGGAAATAGCAATTTATTCGTATGAGTCCGATTGAACCGTGTGTTCGCCGCACGGTCGGCTATCAGACGGCATCCTACACGCGGGTTAATGAGGCTCTACCAGCTTGTAGGGCTCGTCGAACTGAACACACCTATACTCCCTTATGGGGGCGGACGGCTAATTGTTTAAAAGATATTAACAATTAAAATTAGTTACTCCTTATATTCTGAAGTATAACATACTCACATATAGAAACGGTTAACTTCGCGGTTAAACACATGACTTGCAATCTAAAGGTCCACGGTTCGATTCTTTGGTTCCTAACTTATTTTTTAATGATAGTTTGTTTCTTTTTGAATATCTATTACAGCTGTACTATAGTCATTGCATTTATTACTAAATTCATTAAATACGCTGCAATTTTTATAGAATTTAAATTATGTTTTCTATCCAGTACGCACATCAACATCGCTATAGCATTATAAATTTACACGCGCTTATTTGCTATTACATACAACTATTTTTTGCTATTTCAGTTTTGATTTTATTTAATCATGTTATATACAAATTTGCTGTTGCAATAACAGTGCCGGTTACAGTACCAAGTACGGTAGGCATCTCTAGTAAACGTTTATTCCTGAGAATTTTATTTTTAGTATTTATTTCAAAATTTGGATTTTGAAGCTCTATAATTTAAATTAAAAAATTGTAAAACTTGAATTGTGAATTTCTGAAATTTTTTAATTTGAATTTTGAGATTTGAATCTTGAATTCTGAAATATTGAAATTTAATTCATTTATTAAATTTTACTGATGAAGAAAATATTTAAAAACAAAAAAACAATCACGCGTCTAATTTTATTACACGCTGTATAAGATGAAAGTAATTGTATAAGAATAATGTATATTAATTATGCTATTAATTGTAAGAAATAAAAAATGACGACACATTGTAAATTGTACAGGAGAGACACCGTTTCGCTGTCAGTACTGTCCAAAAGCATTTACACGGAAAGATCATCTGGTAAATCATGTCAGACAACACACGGGTGAGTCGCCGCACAAGTGCCAGTATTGCACCAAATCTTTCACGAGGAAGGAACATTTGACAAATCACGTGCGTCAACACACAGGCGAATCGCCACATAGATGCCACTTCTGCTCCAAGTCATTTACTCGTAAGGAGCATTTAACGAATCATGTACGAATTCACACTGGTGAATCACCGCACAGATGCGAATTCTGTCAGAGAACATTCACCAGAAAGGAACATCTAAATAATCATCTCCGACAACATACTGGAGATTCGTCACATTGTTGTAACGTCTGTTCAAAACCGTTCACAAGAAAGGTAAGTTACATTCATATATGTATTTGAATTAAAAGTTTTGGCTGTTTTACCAAAAACCTGTCAAATCCGATTTGGTTGAAATTTTGCATAAAAACAATATTTGCGAGAAGGATTTTTGGCGATTTGAAAAAAATTTTTTATTTTAATATTATTTTCTACATTACCGATGTACTTCAAAAAGAAAATAGGTTAGCTTAAGGGGGTAGACACGGGTAATGCAGTGAGGTGACATTACCGGCAAACATATTTCGGGCCTATTAATGGGTTTACGGGAATCGGTTATTTGTCCTTATATGAGGACACTTGGAGCTGGGTGAGGGCTTATTCGAAAGAGGAAGGTCCAATGCAGGGCGGTCAACTCATGGTTTAACGAGATTGTGTCCATATTTAATAATATCAGTGTCCAAAGTAGAAGAAAAAATCGACAAAATGCAGTTGCGGAATCGAAGTATTTTTAGGCCACTAAAAGAGTTTTGTGACTCAAACGGTGAGTTGACCGCCCTGCATTGAACCTTCCTCTTTCGAATGAGCCCTCACCCAGTCTCAAATATTCTCGTATAAGGACGAAAAACGAAAAATCCCGGACCCCTTTTTAGGCCCATTTTTGCCGGTAAAGTCACCTCACAGCATTACCCGTGTCTACCCCCTTAAGCTGGGTACAGAGGAACGCGCCGCGGTTGCAACGCGGCATTACAAAGTGTGTCCGGTGTTTCGTGTTTACCACGAGCACGCGCCGCGCATGGAACAAACCATGAATTTCAACGCACATTTCCCATCAGTTCATTGTTTTCGGTACCTAGGCTCGAACGCGGCAAACCCGAAGAAAACCGTCCACACTGCGGCATGGAATCCTCTTGTGTTCGCGCAAAAGATCGACAGAAATTGGTTCGTTGCGAGGCATTACAGCATTGCCGCGAGACATATTCGCGCTACTATCCAAACGAATGAATATTTGCCCAAATACGGTCGTTCCATGCCGCGTTGCAGCCGCGGCGCGCTCGTCTGTTCCCAGTTTTATGCTATATTTTATGGAGTAGGAGTACCGAAAATATTTGAAATGCTGTTGTAATATTACTACAGTAATGTCATTCCCTGTTTTGTGGATCCAAACACTGGCGCGTATTCTCAAAATATTGAATTCTCATGGTGGGGCTTATGACCCGTTCGAGTAGAGGTGGAATTAAACAAGATACATACTTTAGTTGATCATCTATGTGAATATTTGTGGCGATATGAAGTAAATAAAAACCGAGGGGGTCCATTTTATCAATTATTGGAAGATATTAAATATGTTTATAATGGAAACTAATGAAGAACGTATACAGAATACTGTTGTAATCTTATTCTACGGGGTGTCGCTAATGCAGGAAATTACACTAAAATGGTAAAACGTTTCTCGCAAAATTTTAAGTCTTAACTTTCGAGTCGCCAAAAATCCTTCTCGCAAATACCGTTTTTATGCAAAATGAAGCTATTTGCGAAATCTTAGACAAATCAGGTTGGACAGGTTTTCGGAAACTTTGCCAAAATTTTTATTTTTTAAGTATCAAAGAATACAGTATTGGTTTATTTGATTTTTTATCACGTTGACTGTCATACTGAAATTATTGGAAAATTTAATTAGGTAATACTTACATATATTTTTATCTATTGCTTACACCAGTGTTCGCGAACAGCGAATTCGTCAGCGAACACTGCTAAGGAGGCGGTTCACCAAATGGCCTGTTCGCGAGCTCAAACGGTGTCTGGAAACGTTGTAACACGTTTCCGTTGAATTTGACTATTATACATCAGCCAGTGAACAATTGTGCACTCGTTTGTTTTCTATTCGCAAGCTACATCTGAGCTCCTGTGTGAATTCGACTCGCAAACAGCTTGTGAACTGTATACATACATAATACAAGTATTTCTAATTAGATAAATAGCGAATTTATAACAATGTTAGTGATAGATTTTTATTTAATTTTGTATTTCATATTGTTTCGTATTTCATTTTCTAAGTTATACACTCAACTTTAAATTAATATCTTTGTATAAAAGAAGTTTGGGTCACGATTGATTCAGGCTCAGCTGTTCATCGGGTTAAACCCTTATATAGTGTGTCCCGCGTAACTGGAAACACTCCATTATTTCCTAAACTATTAAAGATACAAGAAATTGCTTTGGTGGGCATTGCACGGTTAGAGGGGGTAACATTTTGACGTAAACAAATTTTTTTTTGCATTATTATTTACAAAAATATAATGGCAAGGTTTGATTTTTTAAATGAAACTATATATTTTTTTTTTCGATCATTTGATAGTGTTTTTGAAGTCGAATTCATTGAGCTTGCATGTATACACTTGATTTTCATTTGTTTTCGAGATATTGCGCTAACAAATTTGGAGATTTTTCACGGGAAAAATTCACTTCAATGGGAAATATCAGCAGGGATCCTGTTCGCGCGTGAAGTGCCACGTGTTAAGCAGTATCGCTTGAAATGGATACCATGGGCGGCCAGCAGGACGACAAGTCCAAACTTTTAAATTAATTTTTTAAGTAATTTTTAAACGAAAGAATTTCATATATTGTAGAAATAATTTTTAAAAGTACAGTGTAACATTTAGAAAATGAAATACGAAACAATATGAATTACAAAATTAAATTAAAATTAGGACTCTCTTCATGGGCCGCCGTCCAAGGGTTAAACATCGTCCACATATGAATGACATGGCAGTCAACGTACCCGGTTACACCCGACGAATGATTTTCACTAAATGGGAAATTTGTCATTTCTACTATTTTACCTTTTATAAATTAAATCCTCAAGAAGCTTACTACATGGCTATATCTTCATGTTTGTTGATAAATCGGCCTCTGTCGATATAGGTACAACACCGAGGGAAATTCTCTGAATACGGGTATCCATCTTTACTTTCACAGATAGTCCTACTCATTGTCAACTTAGAAAAAAAAGAAAAAGAATGACATGGCAGTCAATGTGTTAAATGATTATACTGTACATATTGTTTTTAAATGCTTCCTAAATGAATCAGCTAAATGGTTTTCATCAATTTTTGTTTTCCTTTTACAGGAACATTTAGTAAATCATATGAGATGTCATACCGGTGAACGTCCGTTTGTATGCACAGAATGTGGTAAAAGTTTTCCATTGAAGGGTAACCTACTTTTCCACATGCGTTCGCACAATAAAGGAAGCAATGCGGAAAGACCATTCCGTTGTGACCTGTGTCCAAAAGATTTTATGTGTAAAGGGCACTTAGTATCTCACAGACGTTCACATTCGGACGAACGACCGCATAGCTGTCCAGACTGTGGTAAAACGTTTGTCGAGAAAGGTAACATGTTGAGACATTTGAGAAAGCACGCAGCAGAAGGACCGCCAACTCAAGTGAGCACTCCATCAGCCATTCCTCAATCTGGTGTTCTACCAATACCAGCGGCAGCTGTTTTAGTCGGACATCCACTGGCGCCGCCAGCGCCACCAGTAGTGCCACAACATACTGTTGTTGTGCCTACACCTCCTGGTGTGTTAACTTCCTATTAAACCAAATGATGAAAAAGTATGAAAGCATTTGATTTAAAAGAAGGGTGTATACATAATGAATGTTTGTGTTAACTCATGAAAGTGCGCTATTAAGTTTTACAAAAACTTAGAATGTAATTTTGGTAAGCAACATTGGGTTGACCGGTGTTGTTACGTATTATTATGGATATTATTTTTTAAGTTGTCTTAACTGCAGCGTACCACGTACTCTTACTTCAAATGTTCACCACTAAGTTTGTCTGCAGCTACGTACAAAGAAATATATCAACTTTAATTTCAATAATAACTACTGCGATAGTAGTAGTACCAAAGTTTAAATTTCGTTATATCCTTCTATAAATAGTTGTTTTAATAAATTATTTGTGAAAACTTATTTTTACATTCAACTTATTATACAGAAATTAGTATGCGAGACGTTACAATTCAATGATGAACACATAATTTCACCATTAATCAAATTAGGGCACTCCATGCAAAATCGGACGTTTCGGAGCTTCATGTTGGATTTTGCTCAAATTTAGATATGTTGTAGCTTTCAGTGATATATAAACATATCTCGAAGGATTTTTAAAAAATATTCAAATTGTTGATTTTACAACTGTTTGAAATATAATAGTACTTGCATTTTTTCAATAAATTATAGCTATAAATTTAACGAACTGATAGATAGCGTTTAGGTACTTAAAGTGGAGACATGGGAGTACCTGATAAAAATTATTTCAGTTAAAAGAGTTTCGTTTACCAGTTATTTTGCAATTGTTTTAAACAAGTGCAATTCTATAATAGTAGGAAAATATTGAAAAATCTGGAAAAAAAAGAGAATATAGTCCATTTGTCTCCTTTAACCTCTTAACTTAAAAGCCCGAGAATACTTGGGCAAAATACACTTGTTATAACATAATTGTTGAGTTAGGAGGTTAAAGACCAATTTTCAAACAGACGGATATTTTAAAATAGGCCATACGAAAATTAATTACAGTTAATGCGGCGTCAGTGCACGTTGGCTCGACTGGCTGAGTCGCGCGGTGCTGGTGTGGGATTGCTACAAGGTCTAATATTGCTAATAGTTATTGGAAACTCACTCTTCATCAATGATACTTATTGTTATACAGATTCAAGTTGTCATTGTTCAATGGAAACCACGAGAAGGTGGTGAGTATTCTTCCATCGGGAGGGGATGGGATGTGATTAGATTAGATTAAAAGGTAATTATTTGGTTGTATTGATGAGCGTCAAATTATATAAATTATTGAGTATATGGTTACTTAATTAATAATGGTTATAACTTGATTTTTGCTATATGAATAAATTTTAATAATGAATAAACTCAATAATTTATATAATTAGACGCTCATCAATACAACCAAATAGCTATCCCTTAACCTAATCCTTAACTTGAATCTGTATAGCAATAAGTATCATTGACGAAGAGTGAGTTTCCAGTAATTATTAGCAATATCACACCTTGTAGCAATCCCATACTATTGGATAACAATGGCAGGTATAACCGCTTGGCCGTTACTAGCACTGCGCGACTCGGCCGGTCGAGCCAACGTGCTCTGACGCCGCGTTAACTATAATTAATTTTCGTATAGCCAATTTTAGTGTTCGTATTTTTGAAAATTGGTCCTTAAAGGGGACAAATTGGACTATAATCCTTTCTTTTTCTTTTTCAGATTTTTCAATATTTTCCTACTATTATAGAATTGCATTTGTTTAAAACAATTGCAAAATAAGTGGTAAAAGAAACTTTTAACTAAAATAATTTTTATTAGGTACTCCCATGTCTCCACTTTAAGAACTTAAACGCTCATTTCTATCAGTTCGTTAATTTTATAGCTATAATTTATTATAGTAAAAAAAGTGTAAAATCAACAATTTGAAAAATTTTTTAAAATCCTTCGAGATCCGTTTATATATCACTAAAAGCTACAATATATCTAAAGAGTATAGCCGGTTAAGGTGGTCAAAAGTGTACTAAAAACAAATTCGACTTGCGATGAATCATTCGATAGCTTATCAAGAAAAAACTGTGTGTGCCAAGTTTCAGCCCTGTAACTCATTTGGGGAGGGTAGTTACGGGTAAAAATGTAATCGCGAAGTTTTCAGCCAATTTCTCCTATTTAATGACATTCGAAAATTCTGAAAAGACTCAGAGATATTTCTATTTGCGAGGCACATATTACAGAATTTTTTCAGATTTTTAGATTGCCATAAAAAACCAAAAACGTCATAAAAATGCTGAAAAATGGCGATTTTGTATTGAAATAGATGCTGTCCTACATTCATATTTTTTTTATAAGTGTATATTATTGATACTATCATCCTCCATTTTTTTGAGGTTTTTTGGTAAGGTGTGCCATAGTTAAAAAAATTAAAAACCGATTTTTTCGCTGTTTTTTGCGTGTTAGAGTTACTTATTCGGCAAATTTTCGTTTGTTCTTTATCAAATACATGGTATATACACTGTACACTATTTTTACATGCAGTGAAATAGAGTAAGAATTAAAGAAACTAAATAAACCTAATTGATAAAAGTACGTTACGTGCGTTATATTTCAAAAGATTAAAGGTGTTTTCAACAGTGTTGGTGGTTTAGCGGTAAAGCAACCGTTGCAAGCTTTTCTTCGAAGGTTCGAATCCGGTCAAGCTCAATTTGTTTTTTTTTGGAAATACATTTTGTCAAGCTTCTAACTATTTTTTCAAGAGAAACAGTAGAATAGAAAGTACTCCAGAGTGGTATTTACGTATATTACAGATTAAAATATCAAAAAAATATTATTGAAACATTTGTAAACAAATATATTAACGATTGTCATGTAGTTAGAAGCTTGAAAAAATGTATTTCCAAAAAAAAAAATAGATTGAACCTGAGCCGAAAAAAAGCTTGCAGTGGTTTACTAGTCAAACGCTTTACCGGTGGACCACCGATGTTGTTGAAAACACCTTTAATCTTTTGAAATATAACGCACGTAACGTACTTTTATTAATTAGATTTATTTAGTTTCTTTAATTCCTATTTTATTCCACTGCATGTAAAAACATTGAACAGTGTATATACCATGTATTTGATAAAGAACAAACGAAAATGTGCCGAATAAGTAACTCTAACACGCAAAAAACAGCGAAAAAATCGGTTTTTAATTTTTTCAACTATGGCACAACCTTACCAAAAAATTTCAAAAAAATTGAGATGATAGTATCAATAATATACACTTATAAAAAAAATATGAATGTAGGACAGCATCTTCTTCAATAGAAAATCGCAATTTTTCAGCATTTTTTTGACGTTTTTAAGTTTTCACAGCTTCAGTTTTCAATATAAAAATCTGAAAGAATTCTGTAATATGTGCCTCACAAATAGAAATGTCTCTGATTTTTTTTCAGAATTTTCGAATGTCATTAGATAGAGGAAATTGGTTCCATTTTTTCGATTCCATTTTTACTCGTAACTACCCTCCCAGTTGAGATACAGGGCCGAAACTTGGCACAGGCTGTTTTTTCTTGATAAGATTTATCGCAAGTCGAATTTGGTTTTGGTGCACTTTTGACCCCCTATACTCTTTGAGTAGAATCCAACATGGTGCTCCGATACATGTCCGATTTCGCACGGAATACCTCAATTATTATAACACCCTGATTACGGCACCAATATGGAATATTCATTTTGTATATTATAATGTATATGACTATTATATCAGTTAATTGCTAAATTGCAAAATTGTAAAATTGAACATATAATATGTTATACGTTAAATAGTTTGGTGATGAGTGAACAAATTGTCGCACAGTATTTGACGTGCAAAGTGTACGTTTCATTTCGGTTATCTGTTTCCCTGGATATTTTTATTTAATCTTTCAACTGTTATCAATGCCTATAGATATTTGGTTTCAGTGTCTACCATCGCTCTTTTAAATATTCAACATTTTTCATAACAGTTGACCTTAACGGCTAATATAAAAACTGAAAAAATAATTGAATACAATTCCTGAAATTACAGTATATTACTGAAGCTCACTTGTATTACAGTGGTATCTATGTTGCTTTCAAACGAGTAACAGTCGGAGGGTTAAATTATACTTTGTACAGTGTGATTCTCTCGCTACGCAAGACAAAAGCCGTGCCGTACAATCGAACTCTGCTGTTTTTGCGGGTAAAGAGATCCAGGGGCCATATCGCCGGACCCAAAACTGCTCTGGGTGTGTTTATGACTGAAACGAAGACAAGAAACGGAACAGGAGGGGTTCCATTTGTGCGGCACGGCTTTTGTCTTGCGTAGCAAGAGAATCACCCTGTATAATACCGGGCATTCATACCCTTCCCTAGGGGAATCACATCACATCCCATCCCTGGCTTGTGAATGTATACTAGAAAAACATTTTTTTTAATATCCATTTAATTATTATTATTTTTTTACAATGTACATCTGAAACTTATAAATATGAATTTTAGAATTTTGAAAGCTGAATTTTAAAATCTTAAAATTTTAAATAATAGTTATATTAATTTCTCCCTTTCGGTATCGTCATTTTTCCTAGGAAAGCTATCGATGTAAAATAGCATCTAAACATAACTATTCGTAATGTCTCGTTAAATTCAAAGTACTTCTTTTAATCTTACAGTTAAAATAAATCCAATGAAAGCTATTTTGGTTTTAGAATAAGCAGAAAGTTTCAATATATCATTCATTACAAAGTAAATGTTTTAAAAGTAAATATATTTTATTATTTTCATGAAAGCACTGTAAAAGCGACTGAGAAAAATATTGTATATTTAATAATTGGTAATTAGGTATCTACTTTTAGCCAATTGCTGCGTAGTTTACTTTAATATAAAGAATTTATATTCGAAAAAAACTTTAAAGTGATTTATGTTTTACACGAATTTGTATGTCGACTAAAGTTTGACATTAGTTATTTCGTTTTAGTTATAATTGTTGTTTTTCATTGTAATTATAATTAACATAGTTGAGTGCAATAAATTTGTCAGTTTCATTTTAGTTTCATCTACAATGAACACCACTGGTATACTGAATTTTAGACTTACAATAAATAAAGAAGATGGATGTAAGTCACTGCGGTTATCAGCAGTTGGAAAATTCATTAAAATTTTGTTTGGTTTTTTAAATTAATTTAATTAATTAAATATTAATGATATATTTGTGTATTGTCTAATTTGAAACAAAAGAATATATATTATAAATATAACAATCCTGTAAGGTCATATATTTCGTATTTACAGTTAAGATTAAAATAAAATAAAAAATCGTAAGTTTGGTTTTACGATAATGTTGCGTTATGCTAAGTTATCCAAGCGTATTTATTAAAGTACTCAGTAACGAATCATACATTTAATTTGTATAAAAATAGAAAATTTCGCATTTTATCTGTTGTCGCATTACCAGACTTACTTATGTATAAAAAATATTATATGGTAATAACAACTATTGACTAGACAGGAACAGGATGAAAAGTTTATTAACGCGTCTGCATGCGTCATATGGAGTTTCATGTACGATAGTGTTCGTCACTACGTAGAAGACTAGATTAATATATTATAATAAATATTACTACATATATATATATATATATATAAATAAAACATGTTAAGAATCACGTACTATTTATAAAAAAAAAACAATGAGAAAAGTAATTATAATAATGGTATAACTTTCTGAGTGACATTACAAATTTATGTCACGTATGAAACGGAAAATTTTCATTACATTAATAAAGAGAGGAGAAGAGACGAAGTCTGTGCAAAGAATACATCTAAAGAAGTAAAACAAATAATTGTGTAATATATATATATATTACTCACGCTTATATACATTATGTATATATACTGTATACGACATGAGAAAGCGTAAACCCATGATGCCATACCGAATATACTTGGAGCAAGAATAATATTTCCAATGATTTATGTAAAGAATTTCTCTGCAATATGTTCGAGGCATCATTTCTTGTAATTTGCTGAAAAGTCTAACAAGAAATAAATAGAAATAATGTTTATATGAATTATTATTACTGCTACTATTACTGATACTATTGATTTGCACCATCATCATTAGGTACCACATCAGTCATCGAAAACCTACTTATGAAAAAAAAAAGTCTCATAATATCATTTATTTAATACATATAGCATAATATAATTATGATCAAATATAAACCATCGATGGCTCTTTTGTCTACTAATTATTTTCGTGATCTTGTAAATATTACAGAATTATGCAATAACATGGATCATACGTTGCTAAAATGAAAAATTATCTGAATTTTTGTAATTATTATTACTATTTCTGCCATAATTATTGTTTCTTTTCTTTTGGGAATATGGAATGCGCATGTGTATGTGTGTGAAATGTTCAATTATTTTAAGCGGTTTAATGAAACAGAGTTTATTTACTAACGAATAATCAGTCAACACTCGCATTAGTTTAAAGTAAAAGACATGAAGCAAAGCACTGAAATGTTCGGAATTCACACACAGAGATATACAGAGTGTCTCAGAATTAGGTTGAATCCCCTGGAGAAATGATTGCTAATGTGATATTGAACATCTTCTTCCTTTGCCAAAATGTTGATTATCACGTTGAGTGCCACGTCAGTCACCGGTGACTGACACTAGACTTTCCGTTCAGGCCGCGACAGTCGCCGGTGAATGACAGTGTAAAATACAGTATAAAACTAAAACAACTACATTGTTTTTAGTAATTACTTAACATTTATTTAAAATTTACTTAATTTTTGTGTATTAGCAAAAATAATTTTACTACTATTGTTTTCACACTCTTCGATTGACATTTTCACGTTCAAGGGGAAAGAAAGATTTTTGTCTGAACTGGACCAAGAACCGCAGAGAACAGAATGAATATAAACGTAAAACATTTCTAAAATGTTTGTATTACTTTATCGTAACCGGCACAGAGCCGGCCACAAACCGATTTCGATGAAATCTGATCTAGCGGCGCGCGTGGCCTGGCAGGGATTTCATTCTAAATTCGCGTGGCACTCAACGTGTTAAGACTTCATTTTTGAATTACTAACGAAAAACACTGTCCAATTAGAGCGCGGGCTGAATTGCGAGAGTGTTAGCTATTGATTACGTTCGAACGATGGTCATGAACAAGCACGGCGACACCACATCGGCACAATTTGTGGCTTCGTTTTCGAGATATAAGCAATTAAAAATTGGAACATCAACTTCCAAAACGAGTGTTTCGCTTTCGAACAGCTAACAGCTGAGGAGATCTAGGATCAGTGTCCGGTCAAAGAGGGACGTGAAAAGATAAGGATGCATATCCGTCTAGTACTTTAAAACCATAAATGGGTCGTCCTGAAGACTAGGTAGATGTGTATAATGTGTTCTTTAGAAAAATTGACACCGATCAATTACACAATTGGGTTTCTCTGTAATAAAAGTTTATATTTCATTATTTACATTTTTCCTTTTTTACACTATTTACAACCGTTCCTACCTGTAATAAAAGAAACGACATTTAATGTCACTAATTACAATGTCAATTCCTAACTTATTAATAGCTATGGTCAGTGATCAGTCTACTTTTATCGCGTGCAAATTTTCTCCTTTTCTCTCTCTCTACCGTGTGTCTCACGATCTCCTCTATCAACGCCCGAGAGAGTGCGGCAATATTCAGGTTAAAGAAATATATTTTCTTTACATCACCCTCCCCCACCCCGACGGTGTCTTCTCCTGGCGGGATGGGCCACCTCCGCCTCCAGGGCGATGACCTCCTCACAGAAGGAGGTCATCGCCCGCCACTGATTCTCGCAGGCAAGCTTGTTTTCAAGGCCTATCTCACACTGCAGGGAGGGACGGGCCCGCGCGAATACCGGACAGTGCTCCAGTGTGTGCTGCGCGGAGTCCCGCCCCGCCCCGCGGTGCTGGCATGCAGCCGTCGCCTCGCGACCGATCCGGTACCAGAAGTCTCTGAAGCAATATTGCCCGGTGAGCACCTGCGTGGTCCAGTAAGCGATTCTTCCGAAGCCGCGGTCCCGCCATTCTTGGATGACCGGCAGCACCGCCCCGACCGCTCGCTGGCCGGCGGCGCCGCTCGCGATTATCTCGCGACGCCACCGGTCCGCCTCCACAGGCCTCCGCCTCGTACTTGAAAGGTACGAGACTTAAAAGGTGCGGTATCCCCTCACGACCCTGATGGCCATCCTCCTCTTCACTCGCCGCAGCATAACTTGGCTGCCGCGAGACGCCATCAGAGCCTCGGCCCATATGGGCGACCCATACAGGACCACGCTCCGCACGATCCCCGTATAAAGACGGCGAACCTTCTCGCTCGAACCTTTTTTTTTCCTTTTATCGTGAGGAAATCTTACATAAGACCCCCCGCTGTCCCCTGGGGGAGGGCGGCAGGGGAGTGTCAGATTCCTGCTGATTAAAACCCCACGGCGACCTCCTCTGGCCTTCAGGGGAGGCTCCGAGACTTCAGTGATATAACTCCGGAACCTCCCCCGCCGCGCGCTAAAAACGCCCTTCACTTACCATTACTTTATTGATCCAACAGCAGCGTTTTGAATTCTTAAGAAAGACCTCCCTTGTGTTTGCCATCCTTTATTCTTAAAGAACTTATAAGTGGATCGGACGATAATAACATATGCTTCATAATATCTATATTTGTCTTTTTGCTGCAACACATTCGGGAGTTTTCAGCTCGTGATTTGCTGAAGACTTTATTATTTGCCTCTTGCGGCTCTTTTAAATATAAACCAATTGGCAGTTTAAATGTAGCATATACTTCACTTCCATGTTGCGGTACCTTATGAACTGATGGAGATAGTTTATACCATGGATAAATTTCTATACACACTTTAGCCGTCTCCAAGCAACAGCGGAGAGGATACGGTATAAGAAAAGAATAACAAATGATGGAACACCCTTCTAGCAGTTTGCGTGTTACAGATTTACGGGTTGAGCTGTTTTCTTGTAATTATTTAGGAGTTCAATAGCACGTTGATAGGAGTTATATATCATCATATATTCATTGGATTGCTGAGTAAAAACACCTTCCTTCACAATTTTTTGAAGGAAAACTGTGGGGGAATTCCTATTAATATTCATAATCGTTGAATTGGAAATATATAAGTTGTAAAACAATCATCTGCCCAAATACTTTACGGCTTACGATGTATTTTAAAGTAAAGAACTTGGTCTTGTACACATCAATATGGAGTAAGAAGCCCAATACAAATAACGATAAGATAGATGTCATAATGAATGATATAAAGGTCAGTAATGATTCCTTCTCCGAAATACCATTAAAGTCCATAAGACACCGATTGAGTAACTGCTTTCTCCCTCAGTACAATAAGTTGTGGAAAAAAATGTCTCGGCAGAAATATTGTTTTATAAAGAACTGTGCGAACTTTTTAGAAAAAGATTTTGAAGTTGACTTCAATTCCATCTGTGAAGACTCGTTCAGTGATAATCGTGAAAACCAGGGGCAAAATGGTTCTGTAAGTATAGGTCGTCCTCGACTATCATATGCTGAAGCATCGACGAAGACCAAAACAAGACGCATAGCATAGATCGCTTCTAGTTGTACGCACGAAGAACTATCAAAAGCGCTGCATCTGAAAGAAAAAAACTCTTTTGTCGATCCTCCGAATATTTACGTGATTCGGAACGACAGGCTACCATAGCCGCGGTCCCGCCACTCCGATAACGCCGGCAACACCGCTCTGACGGCGCGATTTCCGGTGGCAGCTACCTGAGCTAGGGAGCTATGCCACCTTTCCACCGCGACCAACCGGGCCCGGCTCCGATGCTCCTCGACCGTTAGCCCCGGCGGGTCCTCCCCGGCCTGACGGAGGCTCGCGAATACTAGTAAGTACTGGATTCGACCTCCGCCTGATACCGGAACGGGATGACCGGAACGCCAGGACCATCGCCGCCACGTAGGAGATCGTGCGGTACCCCCGCACGACCCTGACGACCAGCCAGCGCTCCACCCGCTGCAACAGAGTGCAGCTGCGCCTGCTAGCCGCTAGATCGCCGGCCCATATCGGAGCCCCGTACAGGGCTATGGACCGGACAATTCCTACATAGAGGCGGCGAAACCTCACACCGGGCCTCCCGAGGTTGGGCAAAAGGCGACCAAGAGTGGCCACCACCCTATCCAATCGGGGAGGCAGGCGGTTGAAGTGAGCATCGAACCGCCAGTGGCTGTCGAGATACAGGCCGAGGTATCGAAGACCCCGGCCGATCTCGATCCGGCACCCGTCGATCTCGAGGCAGAGCTGGGCCGGAGGGGCTACCCCACGTCGAGGCACGAAGAATCATATGGCCTCGGTCTTGTGGGGAGGCAGCTCCAGACCCAACCCCCGGATCGCGTTGCACACGCATGCGACCCCTGCTTCTGCACGGTGGCTGGTCCTCACCCAGTCCCGCTCGGTGGCCAGCACGAAGTAGTCGACCGCAAAGACGGTGGTCCACACCCCGGGCGGAAGGTCCACCCACAGCGCCCCGTCGTACCCCAGGTTCCATAAAGGCGGATCCAGAACGGACCCCTGGGGCAACCCGCAGTCGACCTCCCTCCGGTGCAGTGCACCGCCTCGGCCCGTGAACTGTATCCACCTGCCATCCAGGAAGGCCCGGCGATCCTCCATATATACGGGGGGACGTTGTGATGAACCAACGCCCGTATAGTCCCGTGGGGCAGGGTGTTGAACGCGTTTCTGACGTCCAACGAGACGCCCAGCGCCACCCCACCCCGGGACGTGGCCGACGCCGCGAGGGTGCGCACCCGCTGAATAGCGTCTATGATACTGCGACCCTCGCGAAACCCGAACTGGGTGTCGGCCAGATCGGGGCCCACGCTCGACAGGTGGTGGACGAGGCGGTTAGCGATGACGCACACAAAGACTTTGCCCACCTCGTCCAACAGCACGATGGGCCGGTACGCAGAGGGAGAATCTGCGGACCGCCCGTCCTTGTGCAGGAGGACCAGCCGCCTCTCCTTCCACAACGCGGGGCC